AATTGTGAGGAGCTGTATGTGTTCCCTGGAAGGGGATCTCTCTCCTCACAGGGCAGATTTCAGCATCTCAGGTGCCGCGGGCAGACGTGGCCGAAGTTTTCTGGGTAGGCCTATGATTGAACTGTTGCGTCTGCAGTTGGAAGCGTGAAAGCCTGGGAGTAAATGCAGACCTTTCCCAGCTTTATCTTCTGATGTTAACCCTGGAGATGACCTACTCTTTGTGCATATCCAGCTGAGGTCACAAAAAAAACCACCTTATTTTTTGCTCCTGCATCTGAAGGACAGAAAAATCTATATAGAGGAATTTAAGGCTACATAAATAGGCCTTTCTATCTTTATATTTTTGACTGAGGCTCCGTAACAGTCAAAATTCTTTATTATGGCTAGTTTGGTAGCACACAGAGGCTGCCTGAAAAAATCAAGGTCCCATTGTTTTAGCCACTTTTCATTGCACTCAGATAATTAATGGTCTAATAAAAACAAAACTGTAAGGGAGGAGAGGCTTCTATAGAAATAGTGATTTGTCAAAGTCATAAAATGGTTCATTTAGTCATAAAGCTGGCAATGGATGCACTCCATTTGGTTAGAACTTTGTTTTGGAGAAACACCCAAAACCATAAAGTTGTTTCTTTTCCATGCTTATGCCAGCATTCTCAGACTCCTGGAAACACTTGTAGGACCTTATGAGGTTTGGGATGAAGAGGGGAATGCAGGACTCTCTCTTCTCTTCTTTCCTTTTCTTTCTTTTCCTTTCCTTTACACTCAATTAATCCCTGGGTTATTGTAGGCTCACCTCACCAGTAGCTGCAGCTTAGTGACACAATAAAACTACTCAAGGGATTCAATAACCAATTATTTATCTTGTAAGATAAATCTCTGCGTTTGGCAGTTATCTCACACTATCATTAGCTTATTCCCCCTTTTAAAAACACGTTTGAATTTATGTCTTTTATATACATCAGTGTCATTTTGTATCAGTGTGAGCTGCGTTTTGACCGCGTCATCACTGCCTTTTTTAATGGCTATAGGTGAGTTTGCAGGTGTGCTTTTGATCACATCTGGCATGCAATTTCCACAGAAACACTCCTCCTCAGCACGCTTTGGCTCAACTCTTGGGTGGTCTCATAGACTGGATTCTGTTTGGATGGAGCTGAACCAGGGAAGGTTCACCCTGTCCCACCAGTAATGTCTGGCACTGAAGATCTGGTGTCCACAGTGCACACGTTTATGGAAAAGATCCACTTCTACTGCAGGGATATATTTGCTGCTGCAGACCTCACCTTTGCACAGAGCAGTTTTGGTTGGCTCTCGAGGGCTGCCGCAGCAGCTGCCTTTGGCCTCCGAGTTGCTCTTCAGAACTTTGCAGAAGGATTTGCCTCTGTTCACTGAAGAAACAGAAGGACTTATGAGGATTTAGGACACTAATTTTGCCCCGTTACCAGTTTTCACAATTCGATTTAGTCTTGGCAAATTTAACAGCACACGCTGCACTGGGCCAACTCCAGTACTGAGCATTAACGAAGTCCAACAAAGTACTGAGCTATGCAAACTCTGCCTCAGCAAGGAAAACTACGTTATGGACAAAGTATATATTTTCACGTTGTCCTATTGGTGATTGTGCACTGGAGAGCATGAAATCGGACTTTCTGGTTTGCTATTCGGAGCAGTGCAAGTGGCAAGGGTGTCTCAAGCAGAGGTGAAGCCCGACCTTTAGAAGACTTGAGGAAAGCCACAGCAGAGTGAGCAAAAATATGCCAGCCAGCAGACGCTCAGAGAACTGGTTTTCCTATTTTTCTGTTACGCAATTCACCTCTGATACACACGCGCCGATTCGCTCAGCAGCCCTCCTGTAACGCTGCCGTTGGATAGCTTTATCTAAAAGCACACACAGCTGTAGAAATCCCTTTGCATTTCTAACCCCAGAACCCCTTGCACGATTACCAACAGTAGCCAGGCAGCTGTTGCTAGGGGATCAGCCTGTGTTCACAGCGCTGAAGGCTTTCCGAGCCTCCCGGGGAAGGCACAACGGAATCTCCATATTCATAAAGCAGAAGCAGGCTGGGTTTCTGAGCCTCCGCTTGCTGTTGCAAATCCAGCATTCTTCAGTCAATGAAATAAGGCAGTCTGTACTCTTCCAGAGCCCAAACCCGCTCCATCACAGGATGGTTTGTTTCTTTAGAAGCTGTTTATGGCCTGACTAGAAGTCAAGTGCAAGTTCTGCGAACTGAAGGCAGGGAGCAGTTAAAGCTCCTCTAAAGTATTTAGAAACTGCTGAGCAAAGGTTAGAATTTCCATTACTTTTTGTTAGCTTAAGATATGGTTTTAGCCCCTGAAAGAAGGGGCTAAAAGGCAAGAAGTTGTGGTTGTATAGAATGCCTCTCTAATCTCTGTGAAGACACGGTACAGTGCGATTTCTCAGTAAGATGCTGAAGCCATTTTGTGTCATCTAATGACAGCAGTGCCGACTTATAAGCGAAACAGCTGTTTGCATCTGCATTATGATATTTGGAGGGATGTTCCAGGCCCTTACCCCAAACACAACGTGGCAAATCCTCAAAGCCTCTTCTCTGAGATCTCATCAGATCACCAAAACTGGGCAACCTGCTGTCATCAGATATACTTTGGTAAAAACACTGAACTGTTAATTGTTGAGTTGTTGCAGAACAAGTAGGTAGTACCTCTTCAGACAAACAAGATGATGCCTAAAATGTTGTTCTTTGATATAAATTCTGGATACAGCAGCACCATCTCTTTATTACCAGCAATCACTGTATGTATTAGTACCTGTTACTAAATACCTGTTAATAAGTAGGTGCTACGGAGACACACATCATTAAACGGCCAGACATAAGGAGGAGGCTTGTCACTTACTGCAGACTTTTCTTTCTACTGTTTTAAGATCCTTTTACTTTGCCAGGAGAGTGTGTAAAATAACTTCCACACAACTTGGTATCTGGATGGAACGGCACAAGCTGTGAGGCCACGGGGTGCATTAATTCCTCACAAGCAGTTATTTGCTCAGTTCGAGTCCTTCAGCCTCACAGGGACAACTGAAAGAGGAAGATAAAACTAAGTATCTCTTCAGCATGATGAGGATTTCTTCATATGTGTTTTTGACATGCTTGAGCCTTGCTCCTTTCCTGACCTGTGCATTCTGAGTGCAGGAGAAAGCACTGCAAGGCTCCTTACTGCAAGTGGACTAGCAAATGCAAACCCACCGGCACATAAAACACCAGTTACCCTTCCTGTTCCCCACTCCACGTGTTCCCTCTTTCTCTGCAGCTCCACCCAGAGCAGCCTTTGCTCCATGCACAGAGCTGGAGTCACGACCCTCACCTAAGTCTAACAAATCCCCACTTTAAGAACTCTTGTCAGTTCTTTCCCTGTCAGGATGCCTCCCAGTCTGAGGGCGAGAGTGGTGTTAGAGGAACAGCTTCTTATTCCCTGTCACTCTTCAGGGCGTCTTCTAGCTTCACCTTACTGCCTGGCAAAAGCCCTCTGCCAGACCCTTCTGGGTGACAGCTGCTGCGTATTATGCCAACCCACACTCCTTACCTTCCCCTGGAGCCTGAAAGAACCCTTTTTCCCCCTAATTCCCCTTGTGGCTTTGCCAGGCTGAGGTTTAGAGAAAGGCAGGTGCCCTGAGGTTCCACAACACCTGCCTTTCTCTAATACCCAGATTTTTTGGAGACAATTTCTTTAACATGTCATGTCGTGGGAAACTGCAGGGGTCTTTGGCCTCCAACTGAAAATAAAATTCCATTCGAACAAATAGAGTTGAACAGTCAGTCTTCGACTGTACTGCAAAATGAGAATTCCAGTCCCACCCATGTGCAATTATGCAATTATTACTCCAACTTGCAGATAGGGGAACTGGCACTGTAATGCTTTGCGACATGGCCACAGGGACAATGAATCAGTGACACTGACGTGCTTGTCTACCTTCCTTGCCTACCCACTCCAACAAATCACTCTGGGGGAGGACAGTCTTTAAAGGAAATATGCTTCAAATGTATCTAACTGTAAACTCAGTAGCTCAATATTATAATTTAGCTTACTGCATTATATCTTCCTACATAAGAATACTTACAGTAACTAGCACTTTTGCATTTGTCCTTCTTATGGACTTTAAACTACACAGTGTGTATGCTCCATTTATTTGGCTTTCTTAGACTATTTCTTACTTTTTCTTTTAAGTAAAAGTAGCAAATATATATTTCCCTCTCTACTTCCAGCTGATGTTTCAGTTGCCCTGTGCCTTCTAAGGTAAGCATCCTTCCTACAAAATAGTTGCAGCTTTGACTCAGAACAAGTCCTTTTTTACAACTGACTATTCCAAGCATGAAACTTGCTAAAAATATTCTGCCTACCCTATGTCCAACAATTATTTGGGATTGTGGTTTCTGTCTCCATATAGAATATCTCATTTGTTGTTTTCATATCCATTGCAAAGACAAAAAATGGGTCTCAGCTTTCAGGCTTCCTGAAAAGAAGCCTGTCTTTTACCCCAAGGCTGACCAACTGGAGCCTGATGATGCCACAGACAAAGAATACCAGATATATCTGAAAACAGCTCTTGGATACTGCTCCACCATGAGCAGCAGACTTAGGGAAAGCACCCGGTTACTTACAGCAAATTTACTCGGCAACCCAAGACCTACACTGAGTGCTATCAAGGGGAAGGAAGTAGAAAGAGCACAAAGATTAGATACAAAAACACTCAGATCCCCAGCACAGCCACCAAGAAGCTTATCACTAGAGACCACCCATAAGAAGCTGTAGATAGAAAGTAGAGCCTACGTATTCCCAGCTAAACAACTATGTCACAATAAAGATTCTGAAGAAATGAAAAAACTGCAGAAGATGGCGAAAAATGGCATCTACAATCAACAGAGCAAATGATGACAAAGAGACAAATACATCTTACAAACTTTCCCAGATCACTCGTGACTCTGGCAAAGTGGCTGATGACGATCTTTCCTTTTGCAGGCTGGGCTGAGATGGCCTTTGTGCCAACCAAGAGGAAAAAGAACACCAAATCCATGATGCAAGGAAGTAACCACCAGCAGGCTGGATCCTTATCAGCTGACAGAGGTGAATCTTGTTTTTAGCTATTAATTGTGCCGAGTCCTATGGCCAAGTTCTCAGTTGATGCCAGTATCAAGGGAGTTATGTCTTCTTATACTAGCCAAAGTGCTGGCCACTAACTTACGGCATAAACTACAGACATATTGCACGTAATTTACACCATTTTCATTTAAACCCTGTGAAAATGAAAGCCCATCACTTTGCTTCTAAAACAATTCAAGACAGAAATTATTGATATTACCTGACAAATATCTAGTGACATTAAAATATTTTATACTAACATTTTAAGTGTTTTGTTGAAAACGTGAAGAAAAATACAAGCTATCCATTAGCAAGCACTTCCTTTGAAAAGAAACCATTACTTTATGAAGAGATAATTTGGCTGAAATGCCAAATCTTTCAATGACAAAACCAACAATATTATTTCTCTGACGTATTTGTTCTTGAACTCAGCTCTGTGCATTGGCAGTAAAAAAGGTATTCATTTGTTTCAAACGAAAACCTTTTTAATACAGAGGTAATCTTTAGGGCAATGCTTGTTTTTAGAAAGATGATTAGATCATTTAGCTTTCTCTAAGTGAAAATTTCAGCTAGATTTAAACTCTGGATTCTAGAGGAATCAGTCAGCTACTATTCTGTTAAACCTTCCTTTACATGGAAAAGGGAAAAAGGAAGTTCTGTGTTCTAAGCTCTGCTGTTTTTTTCTTTTGGTAGCAAATGACACAGAGCAGACTGCATCTCCCTGCCAGTGTGTTTATCCCCCTGCGCACTGAACGCAGAGCTGAGATTAGATAGGAGCTTCTTATTCAGACCCCGCCAACACACAATTCGCAAAGAAATTAATGAGCCAAATTCAAAACTGTCTCAAGCAATGTAATTTATTGGCTGCACCCGGTGTGAAGACAATCCCTGTGTGGGCTCTCTGGAAGGGAATCATAGTGTTTAATTTCATGCTGCTAGTTTATGGGATGAGTTAGAAGACTGTTTCCCCAAGGGCTCTCCCCTGTCCCCGCCACAAGTACCTTTTGGACAGAGAGAGGCTCTTTCACAGGACAACGCAGAACTGAGTTCAGATGCACAAACTCAGCCTCTGAAATATCCACTCCTCTGCTGACTAGGTCTGCAAGCCAAGCCACTCTGCCCGTTCTTTCCTAAGAGCTCAAGTCCCAACAAGCATTTAATCCCACCTCTGATAAACAAGTGAATCATAGAATCATAAAGGTTGGAAAAGACCTCTAAGATCATCAAGTCCAACCATCAACTCAACACCACCATGCCCACTAAACCATGTCCCCTTGAAATTTATGCATGTGACATTTCCCATGTGAAATTTATGCACTCAGGCAACGGGAACAACCCCCTCCATCCCTGTCTCTCCTTACCTCTTTAATAATTAGCCATCTAAGGATGCAAAATACACAAACAAATGAAGACTAAAGGGACTCCTGCTTAAATAATACATGTCGAAAGATTCAATGAAATGAAGGTTCATCTTTAATACTGGGAGATTCCATAGTTAGACAGGAAAGAAGATAAAAGGCTCCCACCCCTGGGTCTCTGTATAAAGATTAGAGAAGGAGAGACAAGTACGTGTGCAGACTAATGGAAGAATACCTTACCAGCACTTCAATCATTGCAGGATATTTCATGTGTCCATGTCTCAGGATAAATGGGACTGTTTAAAAGTGGTTAATTTCTTAGCAATCCAGGCAAGGAGGGAAGTGATAGAAGAGCCAAAAGCTCTCGCAGGAGGTATGAATGAGCAATTAAATGTTTAAAAATAGATAAATAAATATTTACATTCCCGTATCAAAGAGTAACAAGAACAGCCCTATAACACACCATGGTAAGGCAGAGGAGAGAGACCAGCCTCCCTCGTGGAAGATACCAGTAGCTGGAGGGGTGGTACCACTTTGCGGCACAATCTTTTCATAAAATGCATTGGGGCTAGGAAACAGTTGAGCTGTACTACTTTTCTGCGTGTCTTCTAATTTGCCTGACACTTATGCATAACGCATTAACCCTGTCTTTGAGCTCCTTTCAAACAGTTTGTTCAAAAAATTGCACTGAATGGCTAATGACAGTCTCTTCTAGAGGAAGACAGAATATATTGTATTTTTGCCTGGTCTGGTGCTGTGATGGCAAAATGATAGTGACAGTGACCGAAGAGCCAGGCACCGCTCTCTGCTGGAGAGTCCTTCCCATTGCAACTGTCCCGCCGTCCTGCAAGGAGCAAGTGTAGTCTTCTTACAGAACCAGTAACAGGCAGCTTGAAATTCACTGTGGAAAAAGCTCATTTCAGTTGGTTACAAGACACTGCCAAGGCAGTGTTCTCCATCACGGACGTTGTGCCCTGGCTTGTTTGAACTGGTTGTTTAGTGTGTTTTTTTGGTTTGTTTTGGTTTTAATTTAAGGAGGAAATTCAAGGCAGGAGTCCAGGGATTAGCACTGATAATGCTGCAGTTTGTAACAACACTAAGGCTTTTACTGTTAGAAGAACCCTTTGGTGCCAAGTACTACACAAAGTAGAAATTTAAAGCAAGTCCTGCTCCAAAGGGTTTGCAGTCTACTTCCTTTATTCCGAAACAAACTGGACCAGGTGTGGGAGCCTGCTGGGAAATTCAGTAGCTGTGGGCACACAGTTCGCTGTGGACTGCACCTGTGTTCCTAGGCGGAGTGCAACGAAGACGTAAAACGAGTGCTTGTAAAATGAGAGATAACGATGTCCAATACCTTCGCTCCACTTAAGTCAAATGAGTTCTGTCATTGAGATGGAAGTTTTTACTCATGTGATCACAGGATGTCCTATAACAAATAACGATAAAAGAACAGTCCAAAGAGTAGATAACTCCAGTCTTGTAATCCGCTTGCTTCCTGCTCCCTCCTTCCCTGCTACCACCTCATTCCAGTAGGAACAGAACTAGGACAGAGTGGACTTTTTCTTCTATTCACAGGCTTTACTGTTCCCAGAAGTTTTGTGCATAGCCAAGTTAAAGAGAAACCAGAGGCATAGTTTCTCAGCCCGTGGAAGTATTAAGCCTATGCTCATTTTTTGTAGGTTTGGAGCCAGTGATTTGGGTATCAATATCCCAAATGCTAGTTATAAGTAGTCATGAGCTGTTCTGGAAGCCAGACTCACAATTCCTATGAGTTACCCGCCAAGAAATCAGACCACGAATAGAACTTTCTTGCTAAGACCAAGATAATGGATGATAAATCAAGCAATAGTTTTGAGGTTGATGACATCATTACATCAGATACCGCTTCTGAAAACATATGGTTTGCTCTTCTGAAGTCCTTTAGCAGCAACCATATTCAAAACAAAATTTCCCATTACTGGCCATTCTTTCATTCATATCCAGATGTGATTCAAGGTCCAATCTAATAATGTCCTTCATCTAATTTATGTATTATAATGTCATTATAATACATAATTATAATGTATTATAATGTATTAATCTATTTTGAGAACATTTGAACAATGTGAAGATTGATCAGATGATAGAAATTGCTCACATACCATATTTTTTTCCAACAGTACCACGGCACGTGACAGTCTAGTTGTATCAGGCAAGACCCTGAACAAGTTTTGCTACTTTACTTAAAAAAAATTAGAAAGCACAGCGTTAGACCTCTTGGCCTGTATCTCTGTCAGGGTGAGATGGTACTTGAGTTGCTTCAGCTGCTTTGAAGCATCTTTATGCGTTAGAACATGACTGGGGACTGCACCAGAGAATTGTCTGTGCTGTATGAAGAACATCAGAGACCTGAAATATGAACAAAGCATGGGGGTGGTAGGGAAAAGTCATGGAGTCTCATTTTGCCTTGCAAAAGAAAAGCTTTCGCTATGTATTATACAGGGAAACCTCTTGACAGAGGAAAATCCGGAAGTGATGTTTTCAGTTTAGTTTATCGTTCCTAGAAGGCCAAGAAGTTGAAGTTCTTCACAACTGCTAAAGCTAGATAGAAGCTCTGACATTCTCCTCCACAAATAACCCAGCAGCACTTACTGGTTAGGCAGATCCCATTAACTTTGTACTGAAAAAACCATTGTTATCCCCTACAAATTCACCAGCTTTTGAGCCCTGGGATCCGAGAATAAGTAACAGAACCATCACAAGCCTGACGTGATTAATTACCAATTTGAAGCAGGGTGTTTCCCATTCCCACCCCTTCAGTCATTGTCACCACCGTTTACATGTGCCAGTCCACATGTGCCAGGCTGCCTGTCAGGGGGACCTCAGAGCTGTCACATCCCGGGATTGTCAAAATTCCTGTAGGCTTTAACAATTGAAAGAGCATCTGTTTCAATGTCTAGTGTATGGCTAACGCTTTTTAGGAGGCTCTTCTTGCCTCCCTTTGTACCTCCACACCTCTCTAGACCTTGCAGTCTGTCAGACTCTCCCAAAGCCACCCCCAGCTTTCCACTGGATAGCTGGAATGATTTGCGCTCAGCTTAGGGCAGAACTGAGACCCACCTAGACAAGATATCTGAGAAAGTCCTGTGAAGCAGGGGCCTGCCCAGTAAGAGAATGCCATTTAGCATCGACAGACTAGGCCTGATTGGAATGTTCCCTTCTTCTACGTATTTTATTATATTTCCTCTGTTTTTCCACTCAATATACCATGGTACCTGCTACCAGGTTACATTAGCAATAATTTCTGAATTGTTTTAAGACAACGCGCCTAGCGATGGCTATAAAACCAATTGAAGCGGTCCCTTACCTTACAGTATTTTCTTCTGTAACAGCTGTCTTTCTAGACATGGATTTTATGGAGAAGGTCCCAGATCATCTGAAGTTTCTCAATTTCCAATTTTGCAGTTACTTCTACCAACTCTGAAGTGGAGCTTGACAAAGCCAAGTCTAATGAGAATAGAACACAGGGTAAGGCATGCCCTCAAGAAAAACAGCCAGAAGAAGAGATACCAAAAGTACCAATGGGACCAGGACCATATTTTTATATCAGTGGATCTAATGGAGCTGGGCTGTAAGTAGGTCCTCTCAGTAGACTCATATGAACAGTAGTATGACATAGCATGCCCATATATGAAGTCATGCAGTGTTATCCATTATTCATTGGCCTCAAATAATTTTCCTTTGATTTGCTGTCTTTTTGGAGTGGTAGACCTGGGGAACCATTTAAAGATAATTCACATAGGAAGTATCCACTGGAAGGCCACCTGTGGTAAAGTAGCTAGCTACTATATCTTGCAAAGAAACAAAATACTTCTATTTGTTTAACGAAAGTTTCTCTCTTGGGGCTGTTCAGAACTCACTTAGCTACACCATGCAGCAAATCTGCTAGCATCATCACTAGAGCTAGGAACCACTGTTGTTGATCAACATTCTGTTGTGCTAAATGTAAAACAAGCGAAAAATAGGAAGAGATTTCTGCCCAAGAAAAATTGTCAGATCAGAAGTTCCATTCATTCCTTTCTGAGTTCTTTGCAGCACACTGGCATTCTTCTCTAGACATTGCCACCAGCAAGCACCACAGAATCTCTGCTGCAAACAGCACTTTCCTTGCTATGTTCCCATAGTTTTGTCTACAAACAGATTTTTCTATCGCTACTTGTCATCCCTCCCTAAACTCCTCAGCGGAGAGGCTCCTTACTAAGACTGGACCCTGAACATTTCTATTCCATGGGTACCAGTTCCATCCTAATTGGAAAAGCCCTGCTGAAATGGTACAAGTTCTTATCAGAGCTGCTGAATCACAATGTTCTTAGCATCCTCAGTTACTCCCCCCACCCTCTCAAGTTCAGACCAGCAGGTCCAGTAGCAGCCATTCCAATTAATGCTTCCCACCTTATCCCCCGCCCAGCAGCTTCTGGGCATGTTAGGTCAGGCTCCCAGAGAAAATTATTAGGAGTTCAAGGGATATGAGCTAACTAAGTATTTGTTACAGAAGGGAGGCTACTTTGCTATTTTGTTTTCCATATGCAGTGTGAGCATCTATTGCCAGAGCAGAGGCTGGCAGCGTATCTATGACAACAGAAGAGAGGATTATGCACTGAAATGGTGTGAGATCAAGTGCCGAGAGACCTATTACCATTTCAAAGAAGGTAGAGGTGCCTGTGGGCCTTGAGGGGGAGAGGGTAGTGGGAAAAACTGGAGAATGCTGGACTGTGACTCCCAGGGCAGAGGACATCACCTGGGGGTGACGTTACCTGGAGAAATGGGTAACCTCAACTCAGAGGAGACATCAGAGCTGGATTGCCATGGTAATTAAAGAAAGGGTTTTAGACAAGAAAACAGCTTTGGGAGAAAAGATACCATTGAAAAGAAGTAAGTATAGTGAAATGAGCAGTACAGAGATTTAAACACAAACCATCACAATCACTTTGGAAAGTGGTCCTCCCTCTTTGGCTTTGAGCACAGGCTGCAATAGGATGGGCAGAGGAACAGCGTGCAGCCTACTCCGGCACCTCTCAAGCACTAGTCTAGGCCTTGCACACAGAGGGTGCATCGCATTTAGAGATGCTCCCCACAGTGGAGGTGGGGAGAGGAGAAAAGGAAGGAAGGGTGCACTTGAAGACAGAAGTAAAGTAAGCTCAAGATGGGTCACCCCACACATCCCAGGCCCAGCTATCTCTATCGAGGGAGAACAGAGTCACTAAAAGCCAAACTACTCCACTGTATTAGCAAGCAACTTTTTGAATTGTGCCCCGTCCTTTGTCTCATCAGTGCATCCTGACTTCAGAGGGCCCAGCCAGCTTTCCCACCAGAAAAGCATAAAATCAAGGACTCCCACAGCAATGCCTCTGGCTGGCACCCTCGGAGCGCGACTTTGCATAAGTCTAAGCACAGCCTAAGCACAGCCCCTGGGGCAATTCTTTTACTTCTGGGAGCTGGTCAAGACCTGTGCCCTGGCAAGCCTCAGCATCATGGCACAGAACTGCCGGCTTTCCTGTGGCAGAGGGAGCGTGTTATCGCTTCCTTAGCGGGCCACGTACAGCAGCCGCCTTTCCCCTCCTGCCAGCTCTGATGGCAACGTGGTGGCTATTTGTCAGGCTGCACCATTACAGCAGTTGGCCTAACATATGGCGGCGCAGATAGTCTATGTTTCAATGCAATTCTGCAGCTGGAATGGTGTGACAGCAGTGGCATCTTTGGAGTGGGCAAGGGACGCACTATTTCATGAAGCCCCATCAGGTCAGTCTGTTCTGCTACAAGGTTGGACAGAAACACGTTTACAGCAAGTGATTTCATTGCTCTGTGAGTTGCCACTACTGCCTTAAAGCAAATTGTGCTTTAGTCAACAGTGATAAAGTCAGCTTCATCCTGCAGCTTCTGCTGCATGGGACAATGAAGGCAAGCTTTTTTTTTCCCCTCATACAGGTGAACAGCTTCTCTATCAGATTCCCAACAACGGAGTCCTCACCAGTAAGATAGGGCTTCTATGCTGCCTGAGAGAGCAAGAGCGGATGATGAAAAAAATCAGTAGGAGCTCTAATTCCAAGTAAGAACTCTCACCTCTTTGAACCTTGACCAGAAACATGCCAACAGAAAGTGAGAGCACATAAATGAAGGACCAGTTTCTTCTGGATGCATAACAGTACAGGATACAAAGTATATGGGGCTTTATTTCTTTCTTATCTTCTAGAAAAATCACTTTTTTCCCAGAAGTACATACATCAGAGACAGAATATCTTCTTTTTCTATGTCTGGAGTTGTAGGAATGCCAGGTCCCCCAAAGACAACAGTCATAGTAATTCCCCTGTTTTGGGTACATCGTCCTACTGGAAAGGCCACAACTTCTTGTGCCACAGACACTGTAAATATAAGAGAAGCTTATTGCCATTACTGCTCCTATATTTTTGACCTACCAAAAAACCAAATGGCAATCCTGTACCATAGTTACCTGAAGCCATCTCAACTAGTTTTCAAAAAATTGAGCATATGAAGAATGTCTTAAGGCTAACATATATTCTTGAAAGCTTATGGAATGAGGTAGCTCAGCAAGAACGTACAACCCACAACTGTCTACAAGCAAGAAAAAAGCACCATTTCTCAAGTTTCTGTTTGCAACCATCCCTTCTGAAAGTAACAGAGGAATGAATGTGTTGGATAGGGTTTTCAGCCTGTATTTGATTCTCCCACAGGTTACTGAAGATGGAAGAATTCTTCCCAGAATCTTTTCGGCTGGACTTAAAAGATGAGAGAGATGCCTTTTTTGAGCTTTGCAAAGGTGAATTGTCTTAACCATGGTAGCAACCAATTTAAATAGCTATGTGATCCTCTAAAATGTTCATTAAAGTATACACAGTAATAATAATTGATATCTATATGCATGTGTATGCATATACATTCAAGTGAGCAGTTTTCAGCGCCCACTAATGGGCATATCGGTGTTTCATACCACACACGTTACTATAATAGACTCATTCTCTCTGCAGAAGAACAGATTTGGATCTGCAAACCAAGTTGCTCTAACCAAGGTCGAGGAATTTTCCTGCTTAAAAATCCAGCTGCTGTCAACACCCTTCAAGCCAAGCTCCACAGCACTGAGGAATACCTACTCAATAAGAGGGTGCCATACCAGGCTTCCCAGGCAAGAATAGTGCAAAGGTACAGACTGAAGCCTGGGAATTCATGTGTGAGTAGTGTGCTTGATTAAGCACACTGGCCTCAGAGAGCTGAATTGTTCCATAGGTATTTAACACAGCTACACCACATCTCATCAACCTGTGAGATTTCATTTTGTGGGAGAGAGGCTGTTTCTCTGGTTAGTCTGTCCTGCACTTCAGTCATTTCACGGTAGATCTTTGTCATCAGAAAGATTTGAGTTTACCTTTGTCTGGAAATTTAAGAATGACTTCAAAAGGCCAGATGCTACAGTTCTGTACACGAATGCTAAACATAAAGCCTTGTGCAAAGCAATTTAAATTAGATATTATCCCAGTTCTTATATAAAGCTAGCATTTTGCAAATTATACAGCTACAATATCTGTTCCATGCAATCTAATAAAGCTTCCCAAATATCTTTTTAACTTTGCGTCAATGCTGCAAAAGTCTGTACCTCAATGAACAGGCAGTGGCTAGCAGACACTAAAATTTTGGGTTAGGGTTGTTTTATTTTTTATTCCTTGCATGAATAAAAGAACCATGAAGGTTCTTCTTTGTAGAATATATACCCACTCAGCCACTGCTAGAATGTTTTGTAGAGTAGCAGAACAGCAGAAAAAGGAAGGGAAAAATAAGGCAGCAGAAGTCATGAGAACAGTTTCAGCTACTGAACATTACTTGCTTACTTTTACACAATTAATTTGACTTCCCTTTGCCTCAGTGTCCCTCCCTCAATTGAGGAATGCATTATAATTGAATCACTTCAGTGCTTTGAAATGAGTGAATAAAACTTTCAAAGAGAAATGAAAAAAAGATGTTTTCATTATTTATCCTAGGAGCTGCAGTTCCCAGTTGCCTTTGATGTTGCCTTTGTTGTGCACAGCTAAGCATACAGGGCACTCTAAACTTCAAGGTGCCCACACATTCATGGCATTGCCTGGCATGGTCATGACATGCCAGCAATGACAACGTGATACACTCGTGACAACGCCGTAGTATTGGCACGGCAAAAGCACGTTTTGCCACGTGGCAAAGCGGTGATACCAATTCCTCACACTGCCCCTGTGCCACTTCCCCAACACGTTGCCATCATGGCTTGGCATCTTCACCTTGCAAGAGAACACAGCGCACAGCAACCTTTCCAAGAGCTGCCCTAGCCAAAGCAAGCAATATTCTCTGCTGACATTCATCCAAACATTTCTTTTCATAACAAAGGAATGGTTGGCCTCATTGACAAGGGTAAGAGAGATTTGTAAAATGCTAAACTGGAATGACGATCTATGGCTTTCTGCAATAGGCTGGACTGTGTTTATGCAGCAGCCGGTATATGGAGCAAAACGACTACCTGACAAAATTAGACCAAGGGCCTTAGTTAGACCAATTTGTGGTCTTTGACATGGACAAGCAGCAGTGCCAGGGGAAGAAGTGGTTGGACCCTATCTCGGATCTCATCTTGATTTCTGTCTGTGACGAATGGCCTATGCTCTGAAGAATGAGGCTCCATATTCTTTGAAAACTGTTGTTAGCATTGATTGTTTTAACAGCATATCCTTGTTACGTATGTAGACATCCAGCAACCTTTGATGATAAAGGGAAACAATTCCCAGATTACATCACTCTGGCAATAAAAGCAATGGTGCTGTATGAAGGGCTCTTTGTGTTCAGACATAAACTTTGTATATTCTCCAGTAAATATTAGTAAATCTTTAATTATCTCCCGCTCCCGAGACTCGGCACAGCTACTATTCCTCTTGAAAGGAGCTGTTCTTGGCATTTCTAACCTCTCCTGCCAGCGCCCTCTGCTGCCATTGACCTTAAAACCAGTGTTGAAAAAGGGACAAAGAGGTTAGCTCTGCGGTGTGAAACGAACCGGCCGTGGGGTTTTGTGTGAGCTTTGAATTGCCATGTATTATGGCTACTTGTTGGTGATGCGTGTTGAAATACTGCTCTGGCAGGTATATTCACCAGCCTCTGCTCCTGGAAGGGAAGAAGTTTGATGTCCGATCTTACCTCCTCGTTGCCTGCACAGCACCCTACGTGTTGTTTTTTGCCCAGGGTTACGTCCGGTTGACCTGTGTCAATTATGATGCCGCTTCCGATGATCTGACTGTTCATCTGACCAACCAGGTAAACTAAGTGCACTTAGTCCAGAAGAAGGGGAGGGTGTGGTTGACAGAGATGGGAAGCAAAAAAGACTTTTGAAAGGCTAAAAATAAATGCCTCATGCATGCAAAATCCACGCACCCAGGAAATGGACGTGGGCTTATGGTCAGGCATGGCAATAAGGCTGAACAGACGCAGTACCAGACAAGGTTCTGTTCTCTGCCATGGACCAGTTCTCTTCTTAACCTGACAATTTTTTCCTCTGGACCTCTTTTTCCTGCCATTATTCTCTCATGTATCTGTAGACCATAAGCTTCTTAGGGCAAGAAGCCTTTGATTGCAGCTACCTAGCACAAAGGAGCCTTAATCTTGGCTACGGATTTTGCTGATCCTGTTGTGCTTAAACACAATAATCATAATGATGTAAGATGCAGATGTGTTCTTCAAGAGCCATCATTCTTAAATCTCCATATTTGCTTGTCTTGCTTTTCAAATGAGAGCTGTAACAGAACAAGACTGTTCTGGCTTGCACCCCCATACATCTTTTGTCATACAAAATAGAAGCCTGCCTTGCTCAGATCTACCTGCATTTTTGCTTCCAGTGAGGCCCTTCAGTAGTTAGAACTGGCCCTGATGAGAGAGAATTAAAAGAATTGGAAGGAAGAAAACAGTTTGCTTTTAAAGCCCTTCTCTCCTCCCAGTCTCACGCTGTGTTCTGAGAACTAGCAAAATACACACTAACGAGGGATCAGACAAGCCCAGTTCGGTTGGAGTTTTACGGTTCCTGTAGAAGTGCAGTTCAGCAGATTATAGCTGCTTCCTGCAATGCATGCTATTATCAGTATGCCACTTGTTTTCCTGGAATAGTTTGTTTGCTCAGCTAAAGAGCTATCCACACGGGAATTCAGGTGCTCGGGTAGGATCCCATGGCACAAGTGATATTAAACAAAGGACAGGTGTTTATTAGCAGAACATAAATTATCTGGGTTCCTGCTGGGAGGAGGGAAACGAGATTTACAGGAGCGGCTGGTAATAGGCCAGGCTTCTTCAAATTACAGTTGATTCTGCTCTCATTCCCTTCTCACCCTTTCATCCCACCTGGAATCAGCCATTTTCCTACTGTATTTCCAAAAGACAAGAGGCAGCAAAGACAGCATCACTAACCAGAAGCTTTGCAAGCCCCCAGTAACCCTCCCACAGATGGAGTTAGCCAAGCCCAGCTGTTTCACAGGGAAAGGGGACTTGCCTTTGGTTGAACAATGAACATACCCCATTATTGATAAACTCCGGCTGACATAGGGATTAATGAGACAATGGAAGAGAGAAGCCCTCACCTTGGTTTCCTCTGGGGATACATCCCTACATCTCTCCCAGATGGACTCTCCTCTAGGAGAGTACTAGGCAGATAGACTCTGGAACCGGGTTTAGTCCAAAGAATATCATGACTCTGACTTGAAAGCACCTCTCCCGGTCTGCCAGCCACTGGTCCAGGCGTAGCATAGACACCCACACAGAGAAAACAGCGTTTTGACAAAGACCTCGGGTAATCGTCTCTACAATGTCCATGTGGGTCAGGCACGTTTCTGCCCGTGGCAGTGTTGTATAATGGGAGTCAGCACATTTGCTCAGGTTTAGCTCTGCTAGTGAGGGGCTCTACTCCCTATACCTTGACCCCGGCATTCTTCCCAACACCAGATGCCTGGAACAACTCAGGGTAGTTGGATGTCTGCCACGCAAGCTGGTTCCCAGTTACTCTTCACTGCCAGAAATCTAATCCTCCCTTTGCTCTGTCTCCCCACCTCTCAGTACATGCAGAAGAAGAACTCCCTGTACAGCCAGCTGAAAGATGAGACAGTTTGGCGGATGGAGCACTTCAACAGCTACGTTAATGAGAAGTTCAGAAAAACCAGCGGCCTCCCCAAAGACTGGGTTTTCACTGTGTTTACTGTAAGTGCAAGCAAGTGTATGGTGTGCTAGTCTGCCTAATTAGGGTGACAGAAACAGGGAGAAAACCTGTCAGTTCACTGGAGCCCCCAAGGAAACACATACACGAGTGAGAAGGTATTGATGGTCCCATGGTAACCATTTATCTGCAGATGCTAAACACAGAAGTGAAGACACAAAGAGTTTAATTTTAGTAAAATGGGTAAACTGCTGAGAAAGAGAGTGTGAATGTTCATGCTAGCTATAAAAATGCAATTACGGTCCTCACGTTCCTGGCCCAATGCTGTGGTCCTACATTAAAAAATTAAGTACACATTAGAGAGCTCTCCAGCCTGACAGATCTTAGCCTGAAAAGGGACTACACTTTCGGTGGTCTCTTTCCTGTCTGACTTGGTCTCACCCTTCACTTTCCATCTGATTTTGCCACATGAAAATCATGTCAGGGCCTTAGATCTTCTCTTATCATGGAGGAGAGATGAGAAGACTCAACTGGCTTGATTTCTTACCATCTTCCTGTCTCACTGAAACAAAGTGAAGAAATTATCTGAGTCCCTGAGACTTCATCAGCCTGAGCCTAATGATGCATTAATTCTCTACATGACTTGCTGGGGTGAAAATGAAAAGGGCAGAGGACACAGCTTTCTCAGGTTAATTTTGGAAATGCTGTAGTTTAAAGCCAAATACAAAAAAAATTAAAAAGCTAAAAACTTTGTTAAAATATGGTTTTGTTTAGAAAAACAGCTCAGAAGCAAGTCTAGTTGAATTTGTCAAGCTTCTCAGGGGACCAGAAACTTTTCAGCCAACTTTACGGTATCTCTCTTCATGCAAAAATTCCCCACTGTGCATTTCAACTCCAAATTGAATTAAACTTAGCATCACCTACTGCAAGTTGCTGTGGCTCACCAGGCTTCTTTAAAACACTATGTCCAGCACGGCTTTGAGGGGGTTGTGAGTCATCACTGTCAGAAATGGCTGTGTACAGCTCACATCTAGGTACCCCCACACGACTAAATGAAAGAACACCACTAAAAATTCTGCAGACAGCTCATTCTGAGTAAGGGACAAGGGTCGAGGTTCTTTCACGCACCACCGCAGCGGTCTGGAGAACCAAGTTCAAGAGGGGGTTTCAATCAATTCAAAGTGGACAGACATATGTTCTCCTTCCAAGTCTAGAGAGGAGCTCTGCCGGAGGCAGCGGAAGAAAAAATGTCCCTAAACCAAGAGGGCACCTATGACTTACAGTGACTCCTATGCCCTTGGCATTCACAATGACCAGTTACCACCCTTCCCTGTCTTCCCTTTCAGAAAAGGATGCAGCAGATCATGTTGCAGTGCTTCCTGGCAGCCAAGCACAAACTGGATCGCAAACTGGGCTACTTTGATCTCATCGGCTGTGACTTTTTAATTGATGAAAACTTTAAGGTACAAATGCAATATCGTCAAATACTAAGTATGATATTGGCCAGATGTCTAAGGCCAGCAGTACAGCACGGTTGACACAGGCTCTGGTGCTAGGAATTAAACAGAGCATTCAGTCAGTCAGCTATGAAGTCCAGGATTCATTTTTTTTCCCAGTTCCATTGTCCACCATCAAGACATGGCACCTGTATTGCCTGCACATTTACTGCACAGAGAAACCCTGGCATTAACAGCTCAGGATGGGAAGAAAAGTATTTACTGCAGCTGAAACTGTTTTGTGCAGAATTTTCACAGGGAAGTGGAGTTCATAGTGAAAAGTATGGGAATTTTAATGCCCACTCAGTGTTTTCCTTCTCCAGAAACCAAACCATGCCAGATGATCAGCCAGCATAAATCAGTGCGTAATGCCTCTAACATCACATGAAGTATACTGATTTACACTAGCTGAGTATCCATCAAAGCAATGAAGAACTCACCCTCACCATGCTGAAGAATCAGTCATTATCGATTCAGGTGTCAGCATCAGCATCTCCATGTTCACTGTAGGTTCACCACTTAGCAATAGGTCAGCCCACCGAGTCTATAAAATCTGCTAGAATTACAATTCAAACTCGTAAAGAGTGAATGAAACACAGACAAGAAAAGCCAGAAGAAAGGGAAAAGGAAATGTTAAATACAGTGATTGAGGTGCTTTCAACACAGCACAGTCCTTCAAAACCACCTGGCCTAAACATAACAGAAAGCCATCTGGCAGATTCTGCTGTTGCTAAAGCAGAAAGGAACTCAAACATATTCTAGCAAAGGGCAGTGGGAACAGCAAACCCCACGAAAGAATGGAATTAATGTATGCAGCAGTGGGTAAGGCACCGAACAATAGACTCCTTTGTACAAGAAGTCAATGGCAAAGGAGAGTAAACGGCAAAGACACAGAAACTGGTGCTTCTCAGATTTCAGTGGGAATTGTCTTTTGCAACGTTGGCATGCAAAGCCCTGGCTGTGTAAACTTTAAGTAGAATAGAAGATCCAGTATCACTCTATTGTGGCAATTCCTACTTGGCTAGTTAAAAACTTCAGCGTTTAAAGACCATTACTTCCCCGTGTAATTTACATATGGAGAGATAAACAAAATCTGTTTCTTGACAGGTATTATCTATAAGAATGATGAGGATTTGTGCACACTTAGCGGTGACAGAGTCAGTTGGAACCTGGAACTTCCCTTTGAGAGAGAGTAATGTGGAAATTTAGGCATTTATTTAGCATAGCTTTGTCCATGTTTTCTTGCCCTTGCCGGGGAGCAACAAACCTACTCTTTCTATTCATGCAGTGCTGCAGTGTACAACAGCTGGACACAGGACTGACAGCTTCAACCCACAGCTAACACTGGTTGGGGCAGCAAACTCCCAGTGCGCTGACATTACAATTCCTGGTCTGCCATCCAGTCCTCTCCACCTGTAATACATAACAGCCTTACTCTCCCTGTCATCCTATTTCATGACACGTGTAGAATCTGCTTTATACTGATTTATATACTGACTGAACATGCTCTTATATGTTCAGTCTTATAGCTTATCATGCCTTTCCCTCCTCCTTATTTGTCTGAGATACAAATGTCCCCAGCATCATTCCTAATAATTCTTGAAGGCCCTGCAGCATCCTGATTCAGTCTTTGGAAGGTGTTTCTCCTGCCTCAGAGTTCTTAGAAGTACAGACTATGAAAGCAGGGCCTGCTAAGAAACCACAGCTTTCTGTAGAGCTTTGCATATTCATATGTAAGCTGAGAAAAGAATGAAGTACTTTAAGAAGAGAGAGAGCAGAAGCGATGGATGTGGTTTTGCTGTTGTTGGCTTTTTTCCTACTGTTTTCTGGAGCTTCCTTGTGCTGCGTTGTAAATGCCTACGTCACTACACAGCTTAGGACAGTGTCATTTAAATGCTCAAGGAACCTGTTTTCAGAAAGCATTGCATCAGCTGTGCAAAAGGGTTTCTCTCCAGAGGCATGCTGAGAAGACAGATGTGTAAATTTTTTATCAGCCGTAAAGAGCTTCAGCTATCAGTAGAGAACAGACTGAACATAGATAAGCCATTTGCCAATTTGTGATAGATGTACATAAATGAAGATAACACTCAAATCCCTAGTTAAAGCAGGGACGGTTCCTTTGATTTGAATGACAGCTTTTCATTCAGCCCAGGAGTATGAGGTACCACATGGACACTGTAGACTTGGTTGTGCCCACTCCAGGTCACGATGATAAAAAAATCTGATAAAAGCTTGTTAAGACTGGGGAAAACAGAACCCCACTGCCTTAGCCTGTGGTCTCCACTATCGCTAAGCGGGTGCCTTTCTGGGTCGGCAACATCTGAGCAGCCCTTTCAGTGCTTGGTTTGTGACTGTGCGTGTGGCTTCAGCTATGTCCACACAGGACACAGAACAAGTTATTTTATTCCTATTTCTGACTGGTATTTCTACGGTTGAACTCGATGATCTCAAAGGTCTTTTCCAACCTAAATGATTCTATGATTCTATTATTCAGTGCTGCTTAAAGCTCCAGCCAGAGGTCAGGCTCCCTGGACACCTACTGCTACACAAATGCTGTGGATAGCTTTGGGTTTTGAAGCATGTTACAGCTATCCTCTCTAAGAACAAGTTCTGATGTAGAGATACACATACATTCCCATTCAGTCTTGGCTATCAAGTCACTCGGAGCCTGTGGGAGCATGGACCGATGCCCTCTCCCTCCCTGAGACCCCAGCAGGATGTTTAGCTTCCACCTGGCGAGCTCCAGCAAAGACCCACACAGTTAAATAAACTAACTGGTTTTTGATCAGAAATAGAACAAAACTCTGGCTCAATCATGCATTTCCTGCACACCACAAAGTCTTACCTCTGCCCATACTGGCAGGGAAAGGACCCTTGAGACAGGTCTCATGCTGTCTGTTAGCCACCACGTCAACACATGACAGAGCCTAGTCTCATCATCCAATGCTCCTTTGAAAGATATTGAACTGCTCCTCTAAGGATGGTTCTACAGCAATGAGACTACAATAGTAATCAAGCTAGATGAAAATAAAAAGTATTCAGCAGATGCTAATAGTGCATCTACCACTATACAAAGAACAAGAAACGAGACCCCCTGGTGTAATGCAGGATCTGGTTGCAGTTGGCATGCTGTTCAAGAACCTATGGAAAAATCCTACTATTTGAAGTTTTTAGGCCTACCTGTGATGTCTTGACAGAGCAAGCTTAAGATGTGACAGAACATGGAGTTGTACTGGCAGGCTGCAGGCAGCAGTAACCTCTTCATCCCCGAGAAACATCCAGAGCAGCACTTCTGACCAAAGCCACAGGGCACTCATCGTTCTCATCACTTGAAAAGCCTAAAGAAAAAGGACGGTCCATGGTTAGGAAGTCGAGGACAGATATTCTGGGTTTTAGTTTCGTTTCTTTGTCATATGTTTGCTAGGAAATTTTGAGCAAGGCACCTACATGCCAGTTGCAGGGAGAAGCACAGGAACTTCATTCTACATGAAATTCCCACGAAATTACAGATATTCACACAGATATGGTGAATCTTAGTCTTAGTCTCTCCCCTCTTCCTGAAATAGAACAAAGAGCATTTATTAATTGCCCTGGTTGGTTGTGGAGAGATTAAGAGCATTTTAAAACTGTGAGACATTCAGATAGTATAGGGGGATGTAGAAGATGAACAGCATGATAGATGTCACAGAGAACCTTCTTCCTCCTGTTTGTCAGTTTTATTTGTTTCGAAGAAGAAACCAAAACCTAATCAAGACAATTATGAAGGTTCATTGAGTTCGTCTGTCGCCACAAAATCTTATGAACTTTTAACAGGAAAAAGAACACTTACTCAGAAGAATGTAACTTAGGTGCCCTCTGTTGGCATCTGCAAAGCAGGTTTTTTTGAGCAAGCTGTTCCAGTTCTCCTCTAGAAAAAAAAAGAGACATTTCACTGCCCTCACTTACCAGTCTTTTCATTTGTTTAATAAAGTATTTCAAAGAAGTGCAAATTATTGTTGTACTTTATTCTCAGCAAAATAAAGTGCCAAAGTGAAGGCTCTCATGTCGCCAGAATCTACCGAACGCTTAGACTTCATTTCACAGGTACTTGCAAGCAAACTCATTGCTGCTTCAGAAAAAAAAAGAAAAAATTAAAATTATTTTTTAAAATCAATTAAAAGTGAGTAAAATTCTCCTGGGGCTGTTACATGATTAAATAGCCTTCCTTACAAAATGCTGAATAGTTCCTACACGTGTTACATACAAGATGCAGCACCATATGGTGGAGGCAGGAAGTGAACAGATTATTTTGTCTCACTATAGGGAAAAGAAATAGTAAACAGAATTACATGCACAGATTTGTAACCAGACCATCACATTCTGCAGCTTGTAGCTTCAGACCTTGGCATTTCAAAGGGAAATGGAGATGAGATTAGTATAGATACGTAAAATCAGTATCTTACACGGTTTCTACCTGAAACTAAAGCTTACCCAGGAAATGAAAGTCAAGGGTTCATTGAAAACTCAGTGCTGTGTTTGTTTAGTTTTGATCCCATGTCCACCTCAAATCAAAACGACTCCTAGATTCCTTATAACTTTATTTCACGGTATCCCAAAAACTTAACTAGAAATTGTTATGGAAACTGGTATGTTAATCATAGAATCATAGAATCATTAAGGCTGGAAAAGACCTCTAAGATCATCGAGTCCAACCGTCAACCCAATACCCCCATGCCCACTAAACCATGTCCCTAAGCGTCTCATCTACACGTCTTTTAAATACTTCCAGGGATGGTGACTCCACCACTTCCCTGGGCAGCCTGTTCCAAGGCCTGACCACTCTTTCAGGACAGAAATTTTTCCTGATGGCGAGTCTAAACCTCCCTTGGCGCAACTTGAGGCCATTTCCTCTCGTCCTATCGCTTGTTACTTGGCAGGAGAGACCAACACCCCCCTCGCTACCTCCTCCTTTCAGGTAGTTGTAGAGCGCGATGAGGTCTCCCCTCAGCCTCCTCTTCTCCAGGCTAAACAGCCCCAGTTCCCTCAGCCGCTCCTCATCAGACTTGTGCTCCAAGCAACAGAGTGCCTTTACACACCTGTAGAGCAAGAGTTAACCTAAAGAGCATCAGCTGGAGACACAAAATAACATGTAGTGTTGTTCTCAAGTACGTAAATGTATGCAAAAAGGGACTTTGTTTAATTCATCCAGTCCTTACGAAAATTCTGTCCTGCCTGCATCCTGTGTTATGGGATTTTGCTGGGATTTATTAGTACTCCTTCCTCTCAAGGTCTTCACTAAGCCGGTAAAAGGGCATTGCTCTGACTCTAAGGAGATCCTGCCTAGTTTCCTGATTGGCATTCATCTTTCCCAGGTCTGGCTTCTGGAGATGAATGCAAACCCAGCATTGCATACCAACTGCAAAGTCTTGAGAGACATCATCCCAACTGTAGTCTACGAGAGTCTCGGTAAGTGAACAAGTCACAGGGTGGCCAGCAGCAGAAAATCGTATCACTCCATTGCTTGTCAGAGGAAAGACTCCTATTTATATCAGTTGTAGGTCCAAAACAGTCTGAATAAAGATATTGCACTGCTGAGTTTATAAGCAATTTAGAAGGCACTGAAAATTCTAACCCATGCAGACCTAGAAAAGCTACAGTCTTTTTAGCCATGCACCCATTACAAAGAAATAAGTGGCTAAATATTTTTTTGTTATAATTATTTTTAAGAACGTTTTCTTATATATTTATGTACAAATAAGTGGCTAAATTTTTTTGTTATAATTATTTTTAAAAATGTTTTCTTATATATTTATGTACAAAAGGCTAAATCTTAATACATGACCCTATAAACTGCACCTGCACATTTTTCTCATGCCTGTTGTTCTGAATGTGCAGGAATTTAAGTTGGTTTTTACCGTGTGCCTAGCACAGCCGTGGCAGTGCTTAAATGCCCGTGTACCCCACCGTACTTCACAAATATAGCTGGCAACTGTTACATGCACTATACAAAGACTGAAAAAATCCTTATGGACATTATATATGTATATGTATATATATGTGTGTATATATATGTGTATATATATTACAATATACATTAACTAGAACTGCTCCTGCCTGGAGGACCAAAATCTCTCCTACCCCTGATTTTCTGTGGTATCACTGTATGTGTAAGGAGAAATAGCAAAGGGAGAGTCTGTCTCTGCATGAAGGGTATTAGCAATAGCCTACTTACGCTTACTTTCATAGATAGTTACCTTCCTGTGCACATTTTGGGGTGTATTCATATCCTGTATTGCATTGTAAGCAATTTTACAATATTTTTCCTACCAATTTCCTAAAATGTTTCCAGTGGAGCTGATGCTGGCTGAAGTGAATGCAAGAAAAGTGTGGTGTTTTTTTCTTTTTTTTTTAAATTGTCTTAATAGTAATAGTCCACAGAGGCCACAGATCACAGGCTGGAAACCAGTTCCCCTCCCCACCCCTCATCCTTCCCATGCACACAGCTGCTTTGTGCGTACACATGACAGCTTGGGTGTATTTTAGCGTCAGAGTGTTTAGACCACCTCGTAACTGCATCTTCTTTTCCAGATTTGGTTCTCGAGGTTTTCAAGAAGCGCCTCAAAGGCCAGAGTGTTTTGCCTTTAAAGGCGCTCTGCCACTTCGTGCTTCTCTATCACGAGGATGCTGCAGACCCTGGCCAGAAACAACCCTCGAAGCTCAGAACCGGCCTGTGCACAGGGCGATTTCTGCGGCCACAAACAGGCAGTACCAGCCACTTCGGTCAGAGCCCTGCCAAAGTGCTGGAGAACTCTTCCAAGAAACTTGGTCGCTCTAGAAAAAAGGTTGCCTTGTTGCCCAGAAAGAATTATCAACAAACTGTCCTAACTATACCGCACGTGCAGCTCTTCGACCATCATGGAAAAAGCCTCTGAACCATTGCAGAGCAAGAGAGCTTTCACGGGTTCAGAAGACATAGAAAGAAAATAAAAGCTAAACTTGTATGTGCTGTGCATGTCCAGCTCATTTCACCTTATATAAACAAACAGGTATCAACTTCAACTGGAAAACCAGTAATTGTTTCTGTAAGTTCTTAGTTCTTCTGTGGAAAGCTACACTTTAACCAGCCGGCCAGAAATTATAGGAAAGTTACAGAAAATGAGACAACTGTTACCACACTAAAACACATCCCTTTCAAAAACAACGTTGATCTGACCGGTGCAATCCAGAAACAGGCCAAACTCTTTACGTACAAAGTCCTTATACAAGAAGGCAGGGAGAGAAGCTGAAAAGATTAACCCTAAGGCTTAACAGTGGAAATCCCCCAGTTTCTCCCATCATTTGTAGCTGCATGTCCAGCTCCCTCGCTCGTTAGATCCTCTGTGCCTTGCACATTTAACCTTGTTGTATTAAGACTCTTTCACTTTTCATTCGGTTGAGGTGACAGCCAAGCAGCAGCACGTACTTACTGTATCAGGCCACCATCTCAGCAGGGACCAAGGAGAGGGGGAGGAAGGGAGCGAGGTTTAAAACCAACAGGAAATGCTTTCACATCTCAGACGCTGCTGCTTCTAACCCAAGAGAAATTTAAATGAGCTGTAAGTTGAAGGGTACATGCGTGTTTCCTTCCCCTCCTGTGCCTACTCTAATTGACCGTAGTTCAGGCACGTCCATGCGATCCTGGGACTGCAGCATCAGTTCGCAGCAAGCATCTGTGAACAGGGGAGCCGGTGACCGAGCATGGGATGCTGCAGCCTGAGCGCCCGGCAGGCCGGGTCTGCAGGGACAGGCCAGGATGAGGTGGAGCTGCTGAGGACAGGCAGGACCAGGTAGGTGGCAATTTTGGGGGCATGTGAAAAAAAGCCCATCAGCTCCACTCAAATAGAAAGACGTTTGGTGCTTGAGACTGAAACTTGGTGGCTGTATTTGCTTTCCAAATGTGACTCCCTTAAAGGAAAAGCTTTCTCTTCTTCCCTTTTTCTAGCCAGCATTTACAGTAGCGCTAAGGTCAGATTCGTTTAATCTCCTAACTAGAGCTTGCTTACTTCTTCTCAATATGTACCCCCAGGTGTCGCAGTCTTTTAAGATAGAGGGTCAGCATTTGAGAAACTGAGGGTGGGAACATTCCTTCCTGCCACAGATGTAATTCTGTTTTGGGCGGGCGATCACAACTAACTCCTGGGGCTCTGGCAAGCACTGCTCACGTTTTGTCAGAAATGGACATTTTCAATCAGACTGTCACATGTCAGAGACAGATCGGAGGCCTGAAAAGAAGCTCAGGAGGCCTTTAGTTCTGCTTCCACCTCTGGAGCAGCCTCAGCTCTTCCTAAATCTTGCTTGACAGATGTTTGTCTAACCTGTCCTTGAAAACCTCCAGTGATGAAGGTTCTGCAATGTCCCAGGCAAGCCATTGTTTCTTCCCAATAGCTAACCTTTAACGCAGGTAAGGCCATTGTCTCTATTTTAAGCACCACAGACAAAAAGAAAAAATCATTCCCCTCCCCTTTCTAGTGGTCTTTTACATATGTGAAGACTGTTACCGTATCACCTCAGTATTCTTTACTTTAGGCCAAGTGTCGAGCTACATTATACATTTCCTTCCATAATTTCACCATATTCCAAGAAACGGTGTTATTCCTTCCTTGTCCATTAAGGCAGGCACACCAAGAGTGCCTTCATCATCCCTACGCTCCTTCCTATGTAATGCCAGTAGAAAATTAGGGTCTACGTGCTTTGTTGAATTTAGGACCTACTCTCTGCTTAATGCGAGGGCACATTTAGTGGTATGTTCCTCTAAAGCTCAGGTTTGTTATTCCTTGACACGCCTGCTGTTTGATTCTGCATCTGCTACATTTTTTTTCCTAGAGTTCACTGAGCTGTCACCACCCAATATTCCTGTTGAAAAGAACATATTCTAAAATACAACAAATTTATGCCAGAAATGCATAAATTTGTCTGCTCAGTGAGCATTAATCTTTCTCTCTCTCTTTTTTAAAAGAAATGCAACACATGCAAGTGCTTTTCTGTGCCTTTCCATATTCTCTTCTATTTCAGAACGTGGTCCAACTCAGAAGGCCAGAGTGAGGCATCGCTCCACCCTAAGGATCCTGCAATCCTAGCAGGAACAGAAGATGTGAGTACCAGCAGGGTCATGCAAGCAAAGATTTGTATGTAGAATCAAGGAAGAAATCAGAGGCCTGTTTAGCTCACCCACCACGGCACTATCCTGATGCAGTATCCCATGACAGTGAAGTGCCAGAGGCTATGACATGCCCTTTGTTTTGAAAGCAAGTAACCAACAGTTCTCTCTGTTTTGAGGCCCAGCTATAAGTTTTCAGCTTTTGCTCTACAAATTCCTGTGCAAGCACAAGTCAGTTTTGGATTTTTTTCCTGGGACCACATTTTATCACCATTGTTGAGAGAAGATGCTCAGAGGGAGGGGAAGTGATTTATGCAAATTCACATATATGGTCAACATCCAAAACTCCCACTGTCTGGGCTGCAAAACCACCCCTTCTCTCTCTTAGCTAGTGTTATAAATCATTATTTTTTTGGCTCTTGTTTCCATTTTTCCACCTCTGCTTGTCTTACTTTACAGGATATGCCTGGTAAGATTACCAGAAGAAATGTATGCTGATGTTTCTTTGTTTCAGACAGAAGTTCCGTGGGGAAGAACTCGGGAGGAACTAGCGACCCTGTTGATCACGCAGCCTATCAGCGGCTGGGAAGGGATGGACATCCACTCTCTTGGGGAAATTATTTGGTCCTCCCTGGTTTTTCTGAGAAGTTACTGCATGGAGGTAATCATCCTCTTACTATAACCACTGAGTAATATGCAAAGGATAAGTGGGGGTAAACTGGATTTCACACCTCCTGTCCAAATTACTGTCAAATCCCAGGGCTTGACTAAAGCTACAATTTGTCCTGACCTCTGTAAGTTAATGCTAATATGTTCAGCTTTTTTCAGCAGTGCCAGCAAAAGCTGAATGGATTTCATAGCCATTTCCTTGTGCAGCATGAATCTTTTCATTCATTCCCTGGGGAAACAAAAACGTTTTTTTTGTCAGAAGTTTTTTGTATTCTTTTCCCCAAGGACTGGTTATTATGGTTGCAAATTTGTATGTGTAACAATCGAGCCCTCTCCACAGGTACTGGAGGTGATTGGTAAAACTAATGCAGTGTGATCACCACTACCCTGGTTTTGACAAGGTCAGAAGAAGGAAATGAGATCTATTCTAACTTTGCCATGGATTCATGTCTCTTTAACTGCACATCACTGTTTATCTGGCTGCATACAGAACCAAAACCACCCTGTCTCACAGGAATGATAGTGCTCAGAGAGCACACAGAGACCATTTAAGAAAAGATGATATACAATTCCAAGGTACTGACATAAAGCTTCAATCAAACTGTGACCTAGTGCAAGACAGTCCAGCAGTTAAACACTGCATAGTTCCTACTTACCAACCAGTCACTAAGCGTGCCTATCACCACTGTCTGTACATAAAGATGCACCAAGTACTGCATCAGCAGAAAGGAAGGGAAGGTGAAGAGCTTTGAAGACATGTAATTTCCTTTTTAAAAAAAAAAAAAAGGAACCATTTTGGAGGAAAGATATAATTGATCTTATTTCAACAGGAGATGTGTGAACGCTACATTGTGCTGTCCTCCTTCCACTTGCTGATTCTTTCAGTGGATCGTACAAAGAAGGCATTTGTTTATGAGGTAAAGCGCAAGAATCCTTTTGTGTTTGTTGTATGCACATTCATATTCAAGATTTCCTAAATATTTCTTTGCTCATAGCTCTAGTATGTGCATGGCAAAAGGAGTACCCACCCGCGGTGCCCTGCCAAGAGGAAGGCTTAGGGTGGAGCAAACATGTGCAGGTCCCATCAGCCGAGCACTTCACTGAGTTTAGGGGAGCTTTGGCATGTTTTCTAGCACAGTAGCTCACAATTCTCCATTTTTCAGCTTACTTTGAACAGGGAAGGCAGTCTGCTCCAGGGACTGAAGAGGAAGTTTCTATTTATATGCCTGCTTCTAGGATCTGTAACGTTAGCTGGCCTCTTATCACTTAATTTTTTTACCCAGGGAGAGGGACTGCAACCCTGTACGAGTGAGCTAAGTGAACAAGGCATCAACCAGGAGGTATCGAAAGAAGGTCGTAAGACCAGACATGGTGTACCAAGGAGAGACATATCCAGAAGAGCTGCCCTCAGCACCACAATGTCTCCTGATGGCTGTCTTTGGTACATGTCTGTGGATCCTAAGTGTGAGAAAAAAAGAGAGACAAACTAGGAAACTTTGTTTAAATTTAAACTCTGTTTAAATACTCTAAGTATTTAAAAGACGTGTAGATGAGGCACTTAGGGACATGGTTTAGTGGGCATGGTGGTGTTGAGTTGATGGTCGGACTCGACGATCTTAGAGGTCTTTTCCAACCTTAATGATTCAATGATTTGTAACTACAGAAAGAAGGTCCTTGATCTGCATAACACTGGAGTCAATAAAAATCTAAGTCCCTCCATCAGTTAAGATTGGTGGTGTAAGAGGACACAGAAAAGACATCATCAGTTTATGAAATACAGGATCCAAAATGCAAACCAGGGCCTCTTTATCCTGAACGTGAGTGTAGTCTTCTCGCATGGTCTGGGGCATGGGGCAGGAATTAAAGAGGGGGAGGCTGCAATGCAGGTGAAATTCCACCTAGTTCATAAGAAGCACTTTTCAACACCAGCTTTGCTCTATTGGTGGAGCTCACCCCCATACCTCAGAGCACTTTATGAAGAAGGACAGTCATTTTACAGGTAGGGAAACATGAATAACCCCCCAATTTCCTATGTCTTCAGACAATGAGCTGAATGTCATCCCACACAGACTTCTGTAAAGTCAAAGGTTCCAAGGATGGGAAATTCTTTAGCCTGGCTTGCAGAAA